TTATGCTTTATTTCTTGTTTTTCCTACTCCCTATGGTCACCCCTTATCTATTCATCTTCTTAAAATCGTCTATATGCGCTGGTTTATTGGACAATTCAGCCTAATCCATCTCATCACCCAGGCTATTTTATTAAGATTTGGCTCCCCTCGGCCATATAACAGGTCATGGTTAACTGGTTAAGTAGCATGGGCACCTTAGAGCACTATTTATTGATATTTTTATCCATGTTTTGGTGTAAATTTGGAACACTTCCATTTCTTGTAATCTCTTTATGAATCTTTTCCAGGTGGCTGATTTCGGCATGAGTCGAGCGATGCAATGCGGTCGTAGCTATTACTCCTCGCAGCTTAGTGTCGAGCTCAAATTACCTGTTGCCTGGTGTGCACCTGAATGCTTCCCACTGTTAGGCATCGATATGACTGATGAACCTCCGTCTGCCGTGATTGCTTCGGATGCAGGTGATAGATCAGGATGCAACGGAAGCATACCAACTGATGATGAGAACAATCCTGGCCGTTCACATAAGACTACTAGATCGAGGGCGAATGAGGTTGACAGCATGACTGAGACTGACATTACGCATGGCCTGAACGAGGCATTTTCAGACGAAGAGGCTGGATTCACCAGCTGCTCTGATGTCTGGGCCTATGGAGTAACACTGTGGGAGTTGTTGACGTATGGTTTTGTGCCCTATGCCGGGTTGACTGGTCGTCAAATCGCCAGAGGGGTAATCGGCCTTTCAGAAACAACTCCAGGACAGCCAGCTCGCAGTAACTCAGCTCTTCGACTCCACCAGCCTGATCAATGTCCAGATGCTATTTATGATGCGCTGATGCGCCCCTGCTGGGCGATTGCACCCCAAGCCAGACCGTCTTTTGCGCAGATTACAGGTGCTTGATGATCCACATTTATCAAATGTTGAATGGCCAGATTTAGTCGTTATTAGCCGCAGAATCATTCACCCAACATTTTCTTTATTTCTTTATCTTATCGGCCTTCAAGATGCTTTATGTCGTTACTTAAGGGACTAGGCAAATTGTTCATCTCCAGGTGATCGCAATGACATTCTAGCATATTATATGATGGCAGTAGGATCATTTTATTCCTGTAAAGTAATGCTATGTAATTGGACAAAAGTATATCCTATATAAGACCGTTTTTGTAAGCAAGGAGCCTGGTGTTGTCTCTACATGTAAACAAATCTGTTAATAGTCTACTTTGAGGCTTATTTTGATTCCAATTTTACTTCAGTTGCCAATTTTATATTTAACTTCCCAGAAATAATGCATAGAGTTTAAAGTGATAATATAATGTTTTGGAGATCAGGCTTAAGATAGATAACTACATATAGCCTGTGCAAGAGCTTCTTTAGTCCCCACAGATTCCATAATTTTGGACCTCGATTTGTATTTCGGTTAGCCAATCCTACTAAAGATAGTCGGACTCTTATTCTAGTAGTACACCTGCTTATGCGTTCTACTCAATTTTGAACTTGATTTTTCGCTTAATTGATGAATACTCTTGGAATGAGGGGATGAGACATCCTTCCTTGGTACAAGACATATTTGTACATTGTTAATTTTGAGACCCTTGCATATTCCAATGCCTTTGGCTGTATTAACTGTGGG